GAACCTTGAGGATCCTCATTATGTCCTCTTCCCCGACATGTAGAGAGGCTGTCAGATCCTTCATCTTCCCCACTTATCCATCAGGCCCCAATTATTTTTCACAAAGAAAAATGTACTGGCCCGGCTCTTTGATGGATCACGGGCATGTACATTTAACCATTTGGATCTGAATGTTACACGCCCATACGTGTCACTAGTAAAACGACCCATCCGTGAAAGGTGCTTAGGCATCAGAATAGCTCCTCGATCCCTAAAGAGCACAATCAATCCCACAGTCACCAACATCGCTCTGTATGAAAATTGGGATAGATTCACCCCACACCGCCGTAAAATTTCGATCAAGTCAGCAAGTGGAAAGCGTAACCCCGCTCGCAAGTGGGTCTCAGAGAAAGTCAAGTACCCGGGAGGAGGAAGGCTAGCCCGATCGGACCTCTTAGGGACAATCGTCACTACATCATTTGGGAAATGAAAATTCTTGTGGAAAAGGATCAGGAAGTCACTCGTAACAGCTGACGCTGTCTCATCTACCCTCGAAGGATCTCTCGATGGAAGGCGATCACCAGACATTTCTCCTACTTAGGGTGTTGGGGGAAGGAGGGATCTCCGGACTTTCTTACAAAGAGAGTGGCCATGGGAGGACCAAGGGAAAGCCTCAATTTTAAGAATAGAGGGAGAAGGGGGGATCTCCAGACTTTCTTGCAAAGAGAGGGGCCTTGGGAGGACCAAGGGAAAGCCTCAATTGTAAGAATATAGTGAGAAGGGGGGATCTTCGGACTTCCTTGCAAAGAGAGGGGCCTTGGAGGATCAAGGGAAAGCATCAATTGTACGAATAGAGTGAGAGGTGTAAATTTTCATACCCCAAGGGGGTATTTATAGATGTGAGGGGAAGTTATGAAAAAAAAAAGTTGAAGAAAAAAAAAATTTAACTATAGCCGGCAGTTGCCGGCTGCGTTAAAACCGTGCGCCCGCGCAGAGCTGGAGCCGCCGCCAGCGGCAGCAGCCGGCGGCTGGCCGCCCAGAAGGCCGGTTCGGCCGCCTACGCGTGTCCAGGCCGGATTTTTGTCCCGGACGGCCCAAATAGGACATTTTTTAGGTCCCCGAACACGTTTTTCGACGTTCCTGACTCAATTTTGACACTTTCAGAGCTCAACGGGACCTCTATGATCAAGTTTGAGCAAGTTTTTAATTATTGGAACGTAATTTTTTGCGATTCGGCCAATGTAAAATGTCGGCACATAAATAAACAGACTTCTGGAGCTTCGACGTCTGAAAATAAGGGAGGCATCTGATACGTCATCAAAAAATTATCATGATCAAGCATGAATCTTGATGCAAAATCAATTTGAAAACTCTCAAAATTAAAATTGGGACCATCTGAACTTTGATTTTAGCAAACTTACAGTCAAACTGAGCGTCTTAGAAATACGAACCCAACGACACCAAAATCAACTCAATCCGAGCCCAAATGGGTCCAAATCAAGGGTTAGAAGCATTTTTTGAAGGTTCGAGCCGCAATTTGGATTACCAAACGGTCTCCAAACATGACGTGCTTATAGTCGAATCGAGCGGCTCGACGAGACAAATCCAACAAGCCCAATATCGCCGAATTCCGACATCATTAAGGCCTTCAAATGACTTACGAATAGTCCACAATCAATGGATTCAGTATCGGCCGTCCATCCAACCACTCCCCATTTACCTTTGATCTTTCACCTATTTATGGGCTATGCCACTCCATAAACCTATAAATAGATCCCTCATTTCTCTTGAAAGGGGATCCAATCAAGAAGAGAAGAAGAGAAGAAAATAAGAGAAGGAAGAAGCTCCTCCTCGACCACCGCCGGAGTTTCGCCGTGCCACTGCCGGAATTTTGCCGGACCACCGCCAGAGCTTCGCTGGACCACCACCTGAGGCCTTCACCTTCGCCGGACCACCACCTGAGGCACTCGCCTTAGCCGGACTAACACCTGAGGCCCTCGCCTTCGCCGGTCCACCACCTGAGGCCTAGAGTTCTGCCATACCATTACCTGAAGTCCGAAGTTCTGCCGGTCCATCACCTGACACCCGGACTTCTGTCGTACAATTATTACTTGTAATCTGATCGCCCTTAAAGGCTAGTCAGCCCGTTGTAACCAACTCAAGTTCTAGTGGAATCATTTTCAACTGGATCAGGCCCCGTGATTTTTCCCTTTTTTCAGGGCTTTCCACAAAAATATTGTGTTTTCTGTGTGTGAGCTGGATATCCGTGCAACGCTAAGACGTATTATTCTAACTCTATTGTCGCGTATATTCTAGCCCACAACAATTATATATATATGAGGCAGTAGAAGAAACAACAAAGAAAAATACAATAAATGGCAATATTTTTTTTCTAAAGAGAGAATATCATACATTTGTCATTGTGATAATTTGATTTAGTACATGATAATGAATATGGAATACAACCCTTAGGTGCTAAATAATACCCATTTTTAAAGAGACAAGGCTTGATTTCATCATTTGAGGCTTTATGTAAATTGCTTTTCATAACTAGCTTTTGTATCATTAAGGGTTTGGATAATGCTATTAATTTAGTGTTAATCATTAAAAAGAGAACAATAAGAAAAAAAAATGCTTGCACGGCATCGCCACTTTGTTCGCACCAAGTCCTCTTATGCATATCCTATCCATTATCATGAAGCCTCACCACACATGCACTCACTTTCATGATCTTCGTGTTATGTGAAATAACATGTCATGCACTCACCCTGTCTCTCTTTTTAAATGAAGCTTGCATGCAAGCTCAGTAGCTCGACTTCCTTGTGCAAGCACATGCCATAATATCTGTGAACGCCTCATTTTCTTGTTATTTTTGGGTGGACATGCCACTTTTCTCCAGCACCCAAAGCCTGCAACACTTGTCTTCCTTTGATCTCCTCTCGATCTCACACAAACCTTTTTTACTGTCTCTCCCTCACAATGACCAATCGCTCTCACTCTCCATCACATCTTTTTTTCTCTTCTTCAAATGGTTTACCTTTGACCCTTGTGATCCCTGAGCTTAACTCATAACCCCTCTCTTATGCCTTTCTTCATATATTTATTTCTTTCTCATTGTGGCATCTAAACTTCACCTCGTTATAAATTGAGCATCTCAAATCTTCAATATAGTGATACCTCTAATGTATTTATAAGATATAAACATCAAAATTTGTGCAAGTGTGTCAGGTATATAATCCTTAAAATATCGCTCTTGAATCCTAATAGTACAGGTCACATCACACTTCATTATGATATTTGCCAGGGTGCATCTTTCCTACAACATAGGTCATATCGTGCTTTGTTATGGCATATGTCTAGGCAAACATCATAGCTTTCTTAACATGAGAAAATTAACAAAAACTAAGAGGAGATGTTGTCTATTTGCAAACCAGATAATATCTTTCACTTGAACCTTAATGATGCAAGTCACAATGTAGCCCACTATGTGTCATGTGCATCTTGTAGCAATTTCTATGGCATAAGTTCCATTGTAAGTTTTTATTGTCATGCCAACCACATCGTGGATGTCGCTTATAAGTTTCCACCGCTACACTAAGAAAAACATGCATTGATTTACGTTGGTCTCTACAAACAACACACAAATTGGATTTTCAGAGTTTTTTTTTCTTGGTGACCTATATATAAGGGTTTGCGCTGGTCTCTCTTTGTTCTATATTAAAATTTAAAGATGATGTTTTTTAAAATTAATATTTTATTCAATTGTACAATTCTCTCACCAAATTTTCATTCCTCACATACGTAGGATTTATTCCTCATTTTGATGCAAGGTGAATTTTTCTTCATTTCTCTACATAAGGGGGACAAGCAATATCGGTGTCCTAAAACATTTACGCCATTCCAATTATGTTTCCCAAACGGATAGTTCGAGCGATTTTGCGCAATGTCGCGCTCATAGTTTGTCAGTTTCAAATTAGTTTGCTCCAAATCGACAACAAGGGATCTTTTCTATTAATTTTGACATTCTTAAAGCAATTGTATAGTCCATTTTGTCAAATGTGCAATGTTTGGATAATTTGTTTGATGTTGTGTTCATCGTTTCCACTTTTATTTTTCGTTAGCAAGGGGACGCATAAGCCTATCAAGGTGTATGCCTCAACTAAAAATAATAATAAAAAAATAAAACTCATAAAGTTAAAAATAATTCATAAATATGTCATAAATCATCCATATATTATTTTGTTTATCATCATAAACTACAAAATCACATAATAAGAAAAATGAAAACAAATATCAATATGAAATGCCAAAGTGAAATTATTACTAGAGAATGTGTTTTTTAAATCATATTCAAATTTTACTCGAACCAAAATCAACATGGTTCAAACATGTTTGAGTTTTGTTTGAAACATGATCAAACATGATTTGAACAACCATGCTTGAACCATATTCGAACATGTTAAAATATGATTCCAGCGATGTTCTAGCAAATGCAAGTTATTTTTTTCAGTAGGCAGCTGACTTGACGAGGGATGTTGCAAAGTTAAGATCTTCTGTTGGAAGCAAATGCAAGTTCGTTTCAATTAATTATTCACTAATATGAGAAAAGGTTCCCATATAACATGATCTTTGGACGTTTTTTCTATGCTTATATAAAGACAATTTTTCATCAAATAATATGCTTCAAGATTTACATGTTTTATATTTTTGTATGATATATTTCACTTTATTTCTGTCTCTAGCAATTTAAACTATTCGCATTTTAAACTAGGTTGAACATTATCCCGTTTTGATCTTTGCGGTTGATAGTCCTCTTGCACTAGCGGAATGGTTCTGCAACATCTTCATAAAAAGCCAGTTTTTAACCTCATGAAATTAAATATGTTCCATCAAAACTTATACAGAACCTGCCAATTTTCCGCCTTTTTTTATAGAAAATTTCCACTAACTGTAGCTGCACCAAACAAAGCCTGCATAAAAATTCTAAAACAAGACAGCTAACTTATCATGGCATTTTATAGTGATCGGGTAGCAGTTGGGCGTGCTCTTGACCTTCCTGTATATTTTGGAGACGCTGGGAGCCGAGAGGTTAGTCAAAATTTTCTGATACCAGGTCTAATAAAATGCCATGAATGTAGGAATCAATATTTGATCAGACCGAATTCTCAATGTTATTGTAATTAGGTCCTACACAAAGTTGGGGCTGCAAGAGCTTGTGCTGCTGCAATAACTTTGGATACACCTGGCGCTAACTATAGAACCGTGTGGGCCCTTAGCAAATATTTTCCCAATGTGAAGACATTTGTTCGAGCCCATGATGTTGATCATGGCATTAATCTCGAGAAGGCAGGAGCAACTGCTGTAAGTCACAACCTGAGTTCTACTAAATTCAAGATCAAATCTAAGATTATCATCTGTTTTCTGACAACCCGTGTAAATTTTGGGAAATTATTTTGTGCGGAGTCCGAAGGTAGAGCATCGTATGCACTGTGTATTTGTTGCATATACACTGTGTATGTACTGCATATACACTACATATTTACTGAGTCTATGTAGATATGAGCAAATAAGCAGCAAATCAACAATACTTACTAAATACTTGCGTATCTACAAATACACAACACATACGTAGTATATATGCAGCACATACGCAACATAAGAACGATGCTCTACCTTCGGACTCCGCACAGAATAATTTCCCGTAATTTTGAGTCAAAGATGAATGAGAAGTTTACTAGAGTTATTTATGATATTGCTGACAAAATTTAAATACCTGGAATGTAAGGTTGTCCCAGAGACCTTGGAACCAAGTCTCCAGCTTGCAGCGGCTGTTCTTGCTCAGGTAAAGTAGTAGTAGAAAATTGCTGTAATCGAATTTCCTTTGGTTCTTCCTATCACTCGTTGTCCCTTTTTGCCATACAGGCCAAGCTGCCAACGTCCGAGATTGCAACAGCTATTAATGAATTCAGAACCCGTCACCTCTCCGAGCTCACTGAGGTATGTCAGAATACGTTTCATGCCTCCTCAAGAGCTTCTCATTTAGCATAGTTATCTGCATTTCCTCCTGTGCTGCTGATATGCCTATTAAATATTCAATTCAAAAAGAAATTGTGAGGATATCCTTATCAGAATTTGATCAAAATGATTTTAAAATTTTTAACTTTAGCTTAAGATGAGTGTAATATAAAAATTCATTATACACATTGTACTCCAAATAAATTCAAAAATTTTGAAATTCAACCTGGTTAAGATATCCTGAACTAATTTACATTTTCCATGTGCTACATCTTGAACTACTTTGTTGAACATTCTCTGCTTTATGCGGCAATTAATTAATGAGTCTTCTTCTGCAGTTATGTGAGGCAAGAGGAGGGTCCTTGGGCTATGGATTCTCAAGAGTAATGTCCAAGACGAAATCTCTGAATTCTTCCGATTCTGATGATGATGAATTTGTTGAAGGTACATTGGCTATATGATCACACTCGTAAACCAGGTTATAAGAAAAAAGTGTTTTTGAGAAACATTTTTACCAGAATTTTGAAAATTGTACAGCTAATTGAAAAGGATTTGTATAGTGAAATGAACTGCTCACATGCAAACTTAATGTCCTCTTTAGGTTGCTTTTCTTATGTCAAATCACAGCACAACGTACCTTTCAAATAGAGAAAGGGAGGCTTTGCAGCCCTTCCAAATAAAATTAGGTCTTGAGGATGACCTCTTCCAGGCTTGCTTTATTGATGTTAACCACATGATTTATTTGGGCTTTTTGCTCTATTGAAGGAGAGATTATTTTGTGCGGACATCAGATACAGCTTATCGTTTAGAGGCGAATCAGGTACAGCCACATCATCCAGTACCAAGCTGCGATACCAAGTAGGAGGTTACGTTACGTATTTTTATTGGGCTCTGGATGGCGTTTGATGTCCGCATAGAATAATTCATCCTTTTGAAGAGAAATTTTTATGCCAAGGTATTATTGCAATGTTATATTCATCCCTAGAGTTAAGTCTGCTTGAAATAGACCATTAACAAATTTGAGTTAAACTTATCAAGTCACTAGCTCAAGCTCAAATTTACCTACTCAATTTGAAATCATAAATTTATTATTATTATTATTAGCCCATTTTGTCACCAGTTTCACCAATTCGTTGGCTTGTTAGAGACCTCTTGATCCATTCTCCAGTAAACTCTAGCATTGACTTCCACAGGCTCAACAAAGCCAATGTCTTATACAATGAATGAATTTGCAGGGCAATTTGCTAGCCTCTAGATCCGTTTTAATGCCTCATGCAACATACTCTAGTTGCAATTTACTCTCACTATATGCCCTCTATAACAAGCTGCAGACATCAGTAGTGATCATCTTTTCCAGTGATCCTTCGTTGATCCTTTTCCAATGAACTCCCCTAAATTCCTTTTGAGTTGGCCTCAACTTGATCTCAATTCGACTCATTTACAATCTTATAAAGGAAAAAAATATTCAATGTGAATACATAGGTGAATTAGATCATGTATATCATTATGTACCGCAACTATGTAACACTATATACTGAATGACATGATGCATTTTAATTCATTTTCGAACAGTCCAGTGCCAGCACAAAAAAATAATTTCGCTTGCAAAGATTATGAAAATCAAAACTAACCTCTTAAACTCAGATGCTTAGCTCATGTATTATTACTCACGGTGCTTGGTTTAGTTCAGCAAAAGGATACGAACCTTCAAAATTACGATGTTTATCCCTATATATATGATATACGTCATTTTTAGTAATATCATAAAACTTCATAAAATTTGAACATATTCCTTTCAGCTGTAGGCATTCAGAATGACAGAAAATAAGGCGTCCTGTACACTCAAGACTAAGCATGAATAGCCAACACAATAATATATTGAAACAAAGTTGAATTTTTTTATTGTAACACTGTAAATTACATGCAAAAATATTCATTTTTTAAGTGATTAACGGACAAATCTATTCTAACAAAAATCCTAGAAATCATTTGTTCAAAACTCCTGTTTTCTTCAGCTTGCCTAGTCTTGAAGGAGGGATACAGTGCTGCTATAAATTATAATACAGAGCAAAAGGTAATCATATTAAAGATATCCTGAAAATAAAAGGCTGCACAAAGCTAAAATCTACAAAAAAATAAAACAAAACTATGGGTTGTAACTGAGCCAAACCAGTCCTTAAGCTGGCAGTCAAACAAGTCCAGTTTGATGAGCTTGAGCCAAGCATGGCTTAGGCTTAGGCTTATTGGCTTATTATCCTTCTTTATCAAAAAATTTAACATATAAAATAATCAAGCATATTAGAATTCAATTGTTTATTTACAAAGATAAAAAGAAAAATCTTCCTCTCTTCTCTTCCTCTCTTCTAATCTACTCAATTCTTTATCCGATCTCTCATGATTTCCATGATTCCAAGGTTGGATCTTCTCTTTCAAAAGACGAGCAGACAGATGTATTAGGGGCTGTTTGGCAACAGGATTTATGCCCGATTTGAGCAGGATTTACGCTAAATCCTGCCAAACAGGATTTATGACGCTATTGGAAGCTACGGCGGAATAAATTCTCCGTCTCGTCATTTGTGCGGTAAACCCTGGATTTGCTAAATCCTGCAGTTCGACAGATTTCAGGGAGCATAAGAGGGGGAGAGCGGACAACGGAACCTGGCTTCCAACGTCAAGTTACAAATAACCGTCTTAAATCCGATTACATTGTCGAACAACTCTAGAGGATTTACCAGGATTTAATGTTTACGTTACCACATTTTCAGGATTTACTAAATCCGGATTTGCAGGATTTAGTAAATCCTATTCAAGTTAAATCCTACTTGTTGCCAAACAGCCCCTTAACTAAATTTAGACATAAGGTAGGGAAATAAACAACCTGATATTATGAGCATTGCAAGCAGCATGGAAAAAAGAGATTTTTGTGTTTCACTTCCTAATGTTAATGCCAGGAATGCCCTTTAATCCCATCTTCAATGCTGTTTTTCTGAAGAGAGCAGGGGGCCTATCCAGGCCAATTGATTGACAAAACCTGTTTGCTAGTTCAGCAAGTGTAGTTTTATCTCTGCCAATATCAGCAATAGAGTTGTAATACCCAAGCCATGCATGATAGGCTGCTTCTTTGATGCTCAGATCAATTTTTTCAATTGATTGTTCAACCTGCAGAATACATGTTAAGCATCAAAAATAAAATTAGAGGCTCGGGGTTAAACAAGAGTTCACGTTATGGTCTTCTCAAATACTGTTATTCTAATTCAGAAGTACAGCGATATTTGTTGGCTGTAATATGGTTCTCTCTCTCTCGAAACTTGGGAGGGGGAGAGGTGAGGCAATATGCCAAGGGGGTAGGATGTGGGGCACGGCAAGAGAGGACGCACAAGGACGCAAAGGAGGCTGCTCAAACAAGGGAGATTATTCTGTGCGAAGACCGGAAGCAGAATGCCGTCCGGAGACCAACCAGAATGAGTCACGTCAATAGTACTGAGCAAGAGGTGACGTGGCGCATTCTACTTGGTCTCCAGGCGTTCGGCATTCACACAGAATAATTAATCCAAACAAGGAGTCAAGAGCAAGGTGCTGATGAGGAAACACTGCGAGGGCAAGAAATGAGAGCTTGTGATAAGGCAAAGGTGAGAGAGTAAGGGATGCACAACAATTGAAGTCGCATGAACACTGATATGGACACTACAGCAAAAACTTATCAATTGAAGTGCATTTTACTTGCGAGTTATAAAACTATATTTGTAGCAAAAGATTAATAAATATATTTTATCAAAACTAAATATGTGCAAATAAGATCAAGCTACATTATCAAGCCTTATTTGATAGAATAATAGTATTATTGTAACTAAATAATATGGTGGATGGACAATACTAGGAATGAAAAACATTAGCAACACAAAAGAGAAAAAATACAAACAATAAAATGTACAAGCTAATTATTGATACCAACAAGAAATTAAACAATCTCTATTTCAAACTGCATTTCAGTTTTCATTAAGAAAAAGTGATATTTAAAAGTCCACTATAAGAAAGAAAAAAAAAGATAAATATCAACGGAGATGAAAAATGAAGCAATAAAAATGAAAGCATGAATGCATGATCTTAACAAGAGAAATTGCGGCAGAAAATTCAAAGTTAAGCATAAAAAGTTCAAAAAAAAAAAAAGCAACAGACTAAAGCTTCATTTGGGACGGCTTCCTTATTGCTTCTTAAAATAGCTTTCTAGTATAAAAATTTTAATTTTTTTATTAGAAAGCTACTTTAAGAAGCAGTAAGAAAGCCATCTCAAATGACGCCTAAAAGAACGTATTGGAAGCCATTTGGCTCTCAAAAGCGAAGCTGCACTAATAAAATGCGCAAGTGCAAGCTTATATATATAAGCATGATAGGAGAACTGAAATGCATGAGGGAAATTTAACTTGAATAAATTGCCCGGAACATAAATGATTATAAACTTATTTTGCACCTTCTGTTTTATATCTGAACCTAGCTCCGTTAGCTCGCTCCTTTCAATGGGGAGATCTTTTATCTCATTCATGAAATATTCCTCCCATGGCGCAAGCAACAAGATGCCCTTTCCATCCTTACCCTCACGGCCTGTTCTTCCAAGGCGATGTATGTACTGTTCACGATCTGAAGGAATTCCAACCTGAGGACCATGAAGGTTTTTAGTTACTTGGAGAAGCCATGCAAGTTGAACTATAATAAAACAGTATAATCACATGTCTCACATGTTTCAAAAAATAATTTCAGCCACTAGATTATTTAGCATAGCAAGTCCTTTTATAACCACAGATTTTACACAAAAGAAAGCCAGCTAACATCTAAATCAATGGAGAAACAAGAAAAATATAAAGTTCTATGTTCAATTTTCATCCGGGTGGGCTCTAGTCAGGTGCGCATTAACTGTTAAAAATGTAAGAAAAAAAAACGTAAATAAATCACAATCTTTCAGTCTAGTTAACCTTTCAGAAATGTGAACTGTTTCTAATTTAGAAAATTCCAGTTTCTCATTTTCAAGAATGTAAACCATGTCCTTGTTTATGTGTAATTATTTCTAATTTAATGGGAGAGCTTATGAAGGATACAACCCCCTAAATTAAATGGCACAAAACATAATATCAATTTTGAGAAATAAAAAATATACAAAATTACATATATTTAAAAAGCAAAGAAAACCAAAATTCAAAACCACCTTACTCGAGTAAATTATGACTATAAGACAATTTCAAAGAAGGTCGAACATGTGTAAGAGCCAATTTAATCGGTCCAGCCGAAATGTCTTCCATTTAAGCAGGCAGGGGAATAAATGTGAACAGTACCAGCCGACGAAAGTCCTTGCACGAAAAACTTGGCTTTGATTGGTTCGGTGGAGTCAAAGAAAGAGGAGATGAAGAAGAATGAGCGCGCTTTCAGTTTCATGACTTATATCGAAGAAGATGGATAAGTTTGTGTGAAACGATAGAAGAAGAGGGAGACGTGCGACCATGCATTACAGATCGACCATGCAATCTTATTTGACAAATAGGAGGGCACGAAACCTGTTCGCTGGAATCAAAGAGGAAGAAGAAGGGTTCGATTGTTCAGATCATGTTCGGCGTGGATGAAGGAGAAGAAGAGTTCATACATCGACTATGTTTCTCATGCGACTTCTTAACTGGCTCCAACTGTAAGAAGTGGGTTGTTAGAAAACTTCAATCGGTGAAAAAAGATAGAAGTCCAATTCTGTTCGGTGGGGTCAGAAATAGAGGAAAAGAAAAATTACTGCAATTTGTTTTTTTAGAGTTGGAGATCTCTCCTGTTTGGTGTAGAATGGAAGAAATTATGATTTTAATTTGATTTAATTAAGTTATGCAATTGTATTCGACAGAAAAGAAGAAGACGGATCAGACTATGAGATCTCATTTGATGAAGAGGAAGAACAATTGAAAGTAATAAAGAAAATTCATTCCATTCTTTTCTGATAGAATAGACTATAAAACATAATCAGAATTGTTTACTAATTAATTCATCTTCAACGTTATCTTCGAATATGTTCAATACTTTCAATGTTGTCTTTGACGATATTCGACACTTCTGGCATTGTTTTTGACATCTTTGGTGTTATGTATTTAGACAATTAAAAAACTGAACAAGGCAGGTGAGGCAAGAGCAGGGCAGTTAAGGCAAGCAAGTCTGCTCTTGAAAATTAACAAAAGAGTTAAATTTATTATTATTAATTAATTAAACAATTTAATGTAAATAAAATTTTGAATTATCTAAATAAATTGACTTAATCATGTACATGATATTTAGGTTGTGAATTAAGGAATAACCGTCTAAGATTTTTTAAAAAAATTGAAGTGGGAGGATTGACTTTTAAGAAGGAAGTGAGATAAGTGATTACACTTTTATTTATAACAATTAAATTTCTCTTTATGATTTACTGCATTTACAAACAGGACATCTTGATCTATAGTAGATAATATTTATAATATTAATTTACATTAAAAGGGGGAATCAAATGCCTTTTAATGGTGTGTAATACACTTTAGATGTGAAATAATTCTATTGAAATTCATATATGTATAAATGTAAATGAAAGGAATAAAATATGTTGATGAAACTAATGTAATAAAAGAAAAAGGTATATGCATTTAAATGCAGATGTTCACCCTCTTAAAGTACTAGATGACAAAGCAATGTACTCGTGCACGTAAAATAAAAAATATATTGAAAACGAAAGTAAAAATGAAAATATTTGTCTTATTTAGTATAAACTTCGACGATGTTCCTAAAATAAATGATATATTAAAAGTTATGATTTGGCAAATGCCGCAATATCAAACAATCAAAGAATATTTCATGAAAAAAAAATTATGTTATTAGTGTTCATATTTGAAATTTCTCTTAAATAAAAGACTTAATGGTTAATCAGGATAACTCATATATATGCATATTGTTTTTTTATTTATTGTTATATTATAAAAGTATAATTAATCGCTGATTTGATGATGAAAACTCAACCCATTAAATTAAATATTTTAAATAAATGGCTGATAGAAAATATTTTGTGTACACACAAATATGATCGAATGGAAATAGTTTTGAACTGAATTATATATGTTAAACTTGTGATGGATAATTTAGTGGCTCTTTCTAAAGTTTTTGGATGTTATTTTATTTGATCATTTTAATTATTATTGAAATAAATTAATTTACCGTACAGTTATGGTTCCGGCCGGGTATTTCAAGTACTCAAGTTGGGTGGTGACACCATGAACCCATGTCACATCAAATGCCACCAAATCAGACAAATCATTGAGCCTTCTAACCTATGTGGAACAAGACACGCATAAGTGCATAACTCATTATTGTTCATGCTCTTATGACTCAAAACCAAACTGGACATATACGGCATCCATGAAGTCCCAATCCATCATATTTCTCAATCTCCCAGCCACCGTCAATTATTCCATTTTGTTAAACCATTGAATATCAATGGAAATAAACAATGGTCACTAAATAACCTTTTAGGATTTAGGTAATACCTATGTTTAAAAAAGTTAGATACCTTGGCTCTATCATAAAGAAAAATTAGGATATTAAGGATGCAATAACTTGGAATTATTTAAGAGAAAGCCATAAGGACCGATATTTTGGAAAGATGAATCAATTTATGCCATTAAACAAGTTAGAAAGTTACTTGGATCACAAGAGTAACATCAGGATAGTTCATTCCACGAGATGAAACATCTGATGTTACAAGAGTCAGGCATTTAGATTCCCGAAATTCATCAGAAATGCGTGTTCGATATAGTTGAGGCTTTCGGGAATGCATCTCCCTAACATTCATCTTCAAATCTCGGAGCAGCACATACATGAATGCTGTTACCATAGCAGTTGTGCAAAAGACAATCACCTAAAAGCACAGAAGACATAACATCACGGGAACTTACATGCCTTACAACTTCCTTTGCTGTTATTTAGAAAATAAATTGTTTTACCTTGTAATCAGGCACTTTCATTATGTGCTCATTCAATAGTTGATAAACCAGATGAAAATGCAGTTCATGTGGTGCAACAAGGTATGACTGCACAACCTGCAATTTAACAAACCAGCTCAAAAATTAACGTAAAATAATGCAAGGTTTGTTAAAAAAAAAAATTTCGATGAAATAAATGAAGTTAAATGAGAACTGAAATGCTTTAATCAAATAAGCATACGGACCCATAACAAATTGGTATATAGGAAGTGACATGAAATATTCTAGGCAATCAACGATTTATGTAATGCGCACCCCAGAGTTTTAAAGAAGGCTGCAGAAATAAGTGTAAAATATTATAAATGCCTTACCAATATGCATCAACACAGCTTTTTATGGATATTCTAGATGAGATTTTTTACATTACTTCATATTATATATTTGAAAATCTGGACAGTTTACCCAAAAAAATAAAATCTGGACAGCAGCATGTGAAACGCTTGTTAGTGTACTGATATCAAGGTTCTGAAAACGGAAGGAGGCATTGAGCTGGAAGAAAGAATCAACCATGATGATGTAAAAAATATTAAACAAGGTTTACATATAACAACACAAAATTTTTATATATTTACATGTCTAGCACCTAAAGCTTAATATTTACCTATATAACACTCCAATCTCACATCACAACCAAAAAATCATAATTAAACACAAATTTTCATCCATATGCTTTAATGTGATTTATACACCACAGTGATATACAAGTAAATATAAGGATTAAGTGTGGTATGTAGGTAAAATTCCCCCACATTTAAATTATCTAATTATTACTTAAACATCATAACATAATGCAAATATTTGATAAAAAAAATAAAATGAATTAATTTATGAAATATCAAACATACATATAAATATCTAATATGATTTAAATTAAAACACCTATCTTTAAATGAGTAATCTTTTATTTGGTAATATGAAATTCCGATAATGCATAAATATGCTTTTAAGAATAGAGATATATCATATCAACTAAAAAGATATAAGGGAAATTTACATACACACCACTTTATTTCATGATATTTACATATCTACCACCCAAAATATTAATATTACATGTCTACCACCCATATACAACTTTAATATAAAATATATCACTCCTATAATTCATTTCTATCATTCATACCATCCTATAAACTTTAATATTTCATTCTATGAACCCAAATTTGTTCTATGAGCGGTAGGCATGTACTATTAATGTTTTAGATGTTAGATATGTAAATAGCATGAAATGAAGTGTTATGTATGTAAATCCCTCAAGATATAAACCAAAATAAGTTAAAATAATATAGTCCTTGATACCCAATTGCATTTTTTTATTTTTTTTTTATACCCAATTGCATAAATATATAGCAAGTTATTTTAGACATTATTTTAAAAATTATTTTTATTTAGCAAATTTAGGTTTCATATTATTTACAACAAGATTAATTTTCAACCATCTCATAAAAAAAAACTGATGCATCAAACATTGAAATGAACTAAGCATTATAACCAAACTGCAAAGGGCTCACCGATTCAACGGTTCAACATCTGAATCAATACAGTTTTTCTGATTCTTCTGTAAAACGGTAATAGCATTGGGCTAAACTGATTCAGAACCACATCATGGTTGGATAGATCAAATGGACTGATTCGGCCCAGTTTTTAGACTAAAGAACAAAATCACTTAACCTAACATTTGTAGCATTTGCATTGCTCATGTTATCATATTTATAAGTATTTAAATAGAATTGTTTGTTTTTTAGTTATATATTGGTGATAGGAGGCAATTTTAGAATTGCAGCATTAAGCTATACCACTTTGAAAATCACCGATAACTCGCAAAAAAAGAAAATATTCAACAGGATCAATTAAGCCGTCATTCCATACAACCCAGCAATCAAACAGAATAATGTGCAGGAACTAATATGTTTTAAATGTTTTCCACCCTATCAAAGTACAAAGTATGGAAGTTATATGCTAAAGAACGTTCATCCTTTGGAAACCTGAATCCCTAAGTCAGATATAATATCCACAGTTAATTTCTACGCTACCATCCATAAATTTAGAAACTAGACTTTACCATAAGTTCTATGCAAAACAATAACGTTTTGCCTTATAGAAGTTGTATTTATGATGAGTGAGAAAAGGACAAAGAACACCGGATACCGTGAGGAAGATCACTTCCGTAACTTCACAAAGGACATTACATGGATCATCTAAATGAGCAACTTAACAAATGAGTGAAACAATTTTATAAGCGCAATGTCTATCATTATAGCCTCAAAATATGTGCATGAAGTTCAATACAAATCTGCATGAATTTCAACGAAGAAGTAAAAAAATAAAAAATTGGTGAAGTCAGGCAGTCCGAGTAGACTTGAATCCGCAAAAAAGTCATTAAAAGCATAGCAACCTTTGCATGACTAAAGAAAGGGTGAAGGTCCAATGTAATATTATTAAAAAAAGCTTTTTAGCTTACACGTGACTCCAAAAACTCAGTACCCAATAATAAGATAGTATCAGGTTCAGAAGGTCTAATTTCTATATCATTTATCATCTTTGAGCACGAAGTTATATTGAACATAATGCATATGTAAATGAGAATTTGACTTTTAATAGAACACAATGGAGAAAAAGGATTCATGTAGCCGACCCCACATAGTGGGATAAAGGCTTGATGTTGTTGTTGTTGTATTAAAGACAAATTTTGAAAATGGCTGGCTTTTATAAACACATTGTGTTTGCGATGAACTTATCAAAAACTATCATATGTATTTCAAAGGTGATTAAACAATCCATAGAAGGCATGGATTTAGAACTAAAACCTTGTCATGAGTTTCAATATGTCCCAGACCGACAGTATCAACAAAGATGTGATCCCGTTTCAAGAGAAGTTGAGAAATGCGACGCACCTAAAATTCAAATAAGTAATGAACTTCAAGAGATTTTTTTCCCAAGAAAATAAAAGATTTGAAAATTAAACATTTATTACTTCTTTAGGAATTGTGGCTGAAAACAACATTGTTTGCCTCTGACGTGGGATGCAATCAACAATTTTTTCTATATCTTTCCGAAATCCCAAGTCCAGTAAGTGATCAGCTTCATCAAGTATGAGCGTTTTTAAACCCATAAGACGAACAGAGAATCCAGATTTGTTCTCAATATGATCCAATAACCTACCAGGAGTTGCGACTAAAATCTGCAAATATGCTTCATCAGAATATAATGATGCAAATTAACTCCATTTCGAGATATCAAGAATCCTATATTGATTCGTAGCAAGACATTGAAGAATATTAGAGATGAAGTTGGCTAGTTGCAGTCAAGAATAATCTTGATAATTGATTATATAAAATCAAGCAAAGGAATATAAAGCAAGTTATGTGAATAGAAATGAGAAAAACCTGGCAAGGATTCTCCTCAAGGCGCTTCTGGTCAAGCTTGAATCTTGTACCACCAATAAGTGTTTGGACACCAACTCCATCATGGTATCTTAACAGAACATTTGCTTCAGCAGCAAGCTGAATTGCAAGCTCTCTTGTTGGGGAAATAATGAGAACAAGTATTGGAGGCACACGGTTTGTTGAGTTGGTGTTTGAAGCTCTCACAACTGCTTCAATTGCAGGAAGCTGTTTATCAATATAATGAATTTTAAAGAACTCATGAAAGGAATACTAAACTTAATCCATTATAAAGCATGGATAAAGTACCAGAAAAGCTGCACTCTTTCCTGTGCCTGTTTTTGCTTTAACTAAAACATCCTTGCCTGTTTAAATGTAAACTTAGTTTCAGATAAACAACCAAACCATCAACATAACCCTAAATAGAGCTAGTTGAGTAATACCCATATATATTCCTCAACAAAAACATTGAAGTTCAAGTCTAGATTATGGTAGAAGTATTTTAAATACAATCTGTACGCTTCAAATTATTAGCCACATTTGCAAGAGAAGAAGCATCATCAAGACGTAAATTAAGGCCATCAAATATAAAGTAAGCTTCATGCAAGCAATGATAAGGAACTTGAATAATCAATAACATGTATCCCAAAATCAATTAGCTCAAAAAAAAATAACTAAAGATCTATGCAAGCTATATCATTGCATACTTCATGAAAATTGGGGAAATTAGAACTTGACAGAGTTCTATTTAGTTTGAGTTTGAATTTTAGTATGCTGGTAAAATGACTGAATGTGCGTGGTTGATCAATTTGCGTGCCAAAGTCAACAAAGCTAATAACCATTTTGAAATGTCACCAAACACCAAAAGCATTCATGATGTCATATGCTTGCAAGAGATACTAATAATATTTATATAGCCATCATACTTTTATAAGACTAATAATAAATGGAGCTTCATCTGTGCCTGCTTTGATGATTTAGAAATGATTTATGATAATCCATAGCAAACAAGACCACAGAAATTAGATTCACAAAAAAAAATGAGGTAACATGAACAACGAATAAGACAAGGCAAACGTGATATTTCAAAGTTTGGCTTTTTTATAATGGATCAGCCAAGCATGAAGTGCAAGAGATAACCAAACAGAAATAAACTTAATAGTTGAAAATAAGCAGGACTTAATAACTGGAAATGACCATTGCAAGGATAATGAAACAATAACATCTATTTTTGGGTATAATAGTAGGCCATGTGTATTAAATGCATGCACATGTTAAACATTTTAAAGAAGATAAGACGATCAATTTCCTAATAAAATCAGAAAAAATAAAAATAAAAAGGAAAACTATTAATTTCACAACAAAAAGTAAGGATGAGCTGAGCAGAAGAATAAAAGTTTCTAATGTGATTAAAAAATAATAATCTTAACATATCTACAGAAACCAAAGAGTTCAGAAATTTCAGATCCTTTTCAGTGGGATAAAGTAAAAAAAAGTCATTTTTAAATGTCTAAAAAATTGAAATTGGAATGGAAGAAAACAATGTTGAAGTTACTAGCTTAAACCATGACAATTTCGTAGCGTCAGACAGAGAAATGGGAAATTCTGTGCGTCTACTGGGCTTGCTTTCACAGTTTGGGAAGGAGCAATGATCTAACCTATGTCTTTCATAGTCTTTCCAAATTTCCAGGAGGATTTTCATCATATGATTGCATTCCATACCAAGAATGGTCAAGCATGGGTTTTCAAAATTCAAATTTTTGCTAAAAAGGATGGTTTAAAGTGGAGTCAAGTAAAAAAATTTGCAACCAACCCTATCCACAAGCTATGGCCGACCAAGTCAAGGAGCAATGCAAGGGATTTGTTTGAATCTCTTGCATTTATTTAGGATTTCTAAAATTTAGGAGTTAATTCCTCCTTTATGGTTATTTTGAATTTGATTTCATGTTTCTAGAAAGTACTCAATTTTTCTCAAAAAAGGGAACAATTATATGACTTGCAAATTCTCTGGATTTTACATACTTTCCCAAAATTTAGGAGTTAGTTGGCACTTTCAAAAAATTTCTAGTTTTAAAATTGCTTTGAATTTGATAGCATGTTTCTGGATAATTCCAGCTTTTCTAGTGAACAATTAGCTCGATTGTTATAGAGTTTTGAATTCCATGAAATAGAAATTCAATTTCTCAAATAAAACCACCGTGCTGACTCTCCCTTTTCCCATTATATATGATGAAGCCTGACATATAACTATCTTTATTACTGTTAGAAATAAGCAAGGGAGAGTACTATCTTGCATGTGTTACCTCCCCATGGCTTCACGACCATGGGAAACACACTTGTAGAGAAATTTAGTCTAAACACCAACGAACCAAAGAACCAACTAAGTCAAAATTGTCTCGCAGACTCACAAATCTTTATACGAGGTGGCAAGAACATATGTCAATAAGAGATATGAGGTTTAACACAAATCAAAATTTTGTAGCTAAACACTAACAATTAATTGTAGCCAGGATAAAAAAGAGCGGGTAGGGAAAAAAAGAACTTAACCGCAAAAGTTAAATGTTACATCTTTTAGTGTCAATATTACTAGGAATTATGATAATTTAAAAAAAAGATGTAGTTGAGTCATTTAGATAAGTTTACAATCTAAAACATATACTGTAGCATACCTTCAAGGCATTCTAGAAGTGCTGCTTCTTGCACAACAGTCAAGTTAACATATCCAGCCAAATTAAGGGCCTTGATTGTCAGGGGAGAAATGTTGTACTCATCAAACCTGAAGTGCAGGAAGTGAAATCAGTCATAAAGCATAAGAGAAAAATAACATTTAGCATGCACATAGAAAAAAAAACAGAAGCAGCATATGCGAGCAACAAAAAGAAAGATTGAACATTAGTGTGAATATTAAATTTTCCGCAAATCCCATCTTTTGAAATAGATGGCTCATTTAAAGACCATGCAGCCCAATACTAATTCATCATTCTCTTCTTTTGTTATTCTTCATACTTTGAAGCATGTATTTATGAATGAATAACACATGTGTAAAACCTTCCAATCATGAAGGCGTCCTTAAAATACTTGACGAAGCTAAATATTTAGAGCTCAGTAAGTGTTATTTTATTTGAGAATTTTGACCTCTCACTGCAAATTTCTTGAATATTAAATAAGCAAAAATCCACTAAACTCATCATCGCAGCATATGCAAATATGCCTGAGCAAAAGAAAATGCTTAAGGAAGCCATTTTAAAACCCAAGGCAAAATATCTTCACCTCATAAATTGTTAATTTAATGGTATCCACACAAATGCCTCGCGAAAAGTGATGTGAGAAGTTGTTAAAAGTTGAGAAGTCAATGGTAGTAACAATAGAGTTCAGTGCGACTCAAAAGTAACAAAGCAAAGCATTTCAACCAAGCTAAAAAATTTAGAGATATAAAGGAGAAAGAAATTATTTAAAATAACTACAATAAAACAAGAGAGTTCAAAAGTCTATAGTCAACTTTATAAAGGTTGAAGATAATGGATTGTCAACATCCAGGAAAATTAGAAATGTTATTTTGAGAATTAAATAAATGTATTTTTAAGAAAAAAAATACAAGAGTAAATAATGAGAACCATGAAGTATAATATAATGTTTTAAATTAGTGAAGTAGAGTGTGCTTAAAAAAAGATGAAAAAAAGGTAAATTTAAGGTTCATATGAGATAACAATTAAGATTTGGAGAGTTATAGGGTTAAAACGCTCTTTTGATATTTTTAATGAAATCCTAACGACTAGGAAATGGCACTTTGATGGAGAAAATATTATGGTACCCATTTCTAAAAAAAAAACAAAAGATAAGTTCATGATTTCATAATTTTTCTGATCATTTGTTGGAAAGGGTAACAAATATAATACTAGAAAAAATTCATGTTAGCATCACCGTCATTAGACCTATCCAAATATTTGAGATTGAACTTAAGAATTCTATCATTCTATTAATTCCTACTAAATGTGATGAGGGCATCAGATTTCGACGTGTACCATTGCCAGAGACGCCGATCGACGGCCTTGATTCAGAGCCTTTACTTTTGATGCTTTAGTTTATTCATGACTTTTATTTCATGTTT